CTCTCAGCAGTCCTCCCGTCTCCCTATAACTTCTACTTTCAACTGTGAATGAAGGTTTTTCTTAAAGGCATTCAAAATGATCATGGCTGACATCCTCCACGTTTCTTTTAGTTTATCTCATCTATAATGTAATATCTATCCTTTGACTGCTTCTTATTCACCAGTCTAGAGAAGTAGCAGTTAATCATTATTCATCACTACTCTCACATCCACATTTGTTATTGCCCAATGGGGATTTCATGGCACATCATAAAATGACTTGCCCTCAATCACCCTCAGTTCTATGGTTTCACTTTCTCTCCATGCTACTGTCCTGGCTAAATCCCAGTTAGGTTAAATTTAATTGTTTTTTCCTCTGTCCTACACTTACGTTGCCTACGTCAATTGTGGGAAACCACTCAGCACTTCACTCTCTGCTGCTGATCTTGCCTCATATTTCTTCCTCCAAAATATAAACATTTAGATAAGATCATCCTCTTACTACCTCTAAGCCTTTATACACATACTTTTCTTCCCATCTGTCATAATGAATAATGTGTCCCTGCTTCTACCTAAGACTAGTTCTTTCACATTTTTGGAGCTTTTCATAAACTTTACATGGAAAATTACATGTCTACTCTTCCCAGGCATCAGTTTATCAAGCTCTACTGAAATATTTTTATTGGTTTATAAATATCATCTCGTGTCACCATTCTTAATAATTTCCTTGGCTGAAAATCCCATCCAGTCACCAACTTATTTCTCTGATCCCTTTGTAATTGTACTTTTCAAAAGTACTACCTCTAGTCATTATCCCTACTTTCTCATATCCCATGACATGTTCCAATTATACGTTTGTGTCACTGCTCCATTGAACCTACTCTTGTCAAGAACATATAAATATTTGACTCAATTGCATTCAAATATTACTATTCTATTTTACTATTATTTGCTATCTCAGAAGGAATTTCCACAGTACATTCCTCCAGCTATCCCCAAAACACTCCTTCCCAAGTTTCTATACTGCCTCAATCTTTTGATTTTCTGTCTCACTTTATGGCCACTTTTTTAAAAAGACAGGAAATACTTTATTTAAACCCATCAGAGAGATAGACAGTTTGAGTCTGTAACCAAGCATTATGTTTTAAAGCATAGGCCAGTAATTGTTTATGAGAGTATACATCGCTACATACAAATTAACTGATCAGACCACAACTTTTCAATGTTTAAAACAGAATAAGCTTCCCTGTAAAGGCAGCACCATTGTGACACTTTAACTTTAGTATTTCTCTTCTTCTTCCTCACCTTCTCCTTCAATGGAATCCACACCCATCTCCTCATAATCCTTCTGAATGGTAGCCATGTCCTTATTGGGTGCAGAAAAACCCTCCTTCCTCCATGCCCTCCCTCATCCATGCATGGCCACTTCTCAGATAACTGATGGCTCTTTCTCCTCTTCAGGCTGGCTTTGGAGCCAAAGACTTAAACCTTTCCATTGTTTGTTATATTGGTTCTCCATCTTTATCCACTTCTTAGGTGATTTAAGAAGTCTGCCATGATTCCAAAATTCACATCTCCAGCCCTGGCCTCTATCTAACCTGAGTTCTAGATGTGTATATTGAATTGACAACCTGGCATCTAAGGACTTTGAAGACATTAAAGAATTAAGAAATTATCTTTTTTTACTTAGTTATCATACTCAGACATCTATAATTGCATCTTTTGCACTATGAGGAGGAACTGTATCTTAGCATCATACTTATGTTCCTTGTGCTTAAAATATCCTTCTCCATGTTAAGGCATAAATGGTGTTTTCTGTTAAACTTACTCAGTTTGTGCTTGGAACAAGAAAACAGGCACCCTTTATATCTTAATTTACTCATAATACATTCAAAAACTATTTGTTGGTATACAAAAAACTGCACATATTTAATGTATATAATTTGATGAGTTTGAACATATGTATACATCAATAAAGCTGTTTAAAAGTCTATTAATGAATAAACTAGAATGTAACATGTAATGAAGATAAAGCAGGTAAGAAAACACAAAGTTCCTTTGTGCTCTCATGAAACGTATATTTAAATAAGGAAGGCTTTGTTGTCTATACCAAATGTGTGTGCATGTATGCACAGGTATGTGTGTGTGTGTGTTTGACATGGATATGAGTGGTACTTTGAAGACACATAAAGCAGGAAATAGAATAGAGAATGGTATAGTCAGAGAAGAGCTCCCTGAGGAAATAACATTTGATCGATACCTAAATAGGGATAATATCATGTGAATGTCTGTGAAAGAGCATTCTAGTTATGCTACAGCAAATACTGAGGTCCTGAGGCATAATTCTGCTTAGTTTGCTAAAGGAATAGTAAGGAGATAAATATATGTGGACCAGAGTGAACAAATGATAGGAGGAAAAAAACTGAAATCAGAAAGGTGTTGTGAAGGACCAGCAGGTTACATAAGCCTTATAGGTCATATATAGGCTTTACTCTTCATTCTTTCATATCATCCCATGACAGCTGTTCTCCAACTGTAAGCTGCATGAGGAAGTGACAAGGTTGATTTTGTTGGCTACTCTGTTAGTACCAATGGTATTGTCTACTCCACTAAACAAATTTACTACATTTTATTGAATGAATCAATTCATGAATGCAATGAGAGCCATGTTCTAATAGAAATAAGCAGATATCATATTTTCAGTGGAATTCTGAGGTTTGGAGGCAGGAACTGGTTAGTTATTTACCATTTAATTCCTTGTTGTGCTCCATGGAATCTCAGAATCACAAAGTAGGTTTTGCCTTTCTCTAAAGGCCTAAGTTTCCCTCCATGGTATACATGATTCACTGGGGAGAATGCAGTTCCATTATCTCAGTGGAAAGTAAATGCATGTTTTAATTTTGGATCAGCACATCTTGCAGAGACTAAATCTCATGAGAATGAGCACAGCCTTAATAAGGCTGACTGACTCTTTGTCTCAGACTCAGTAGCAGCATTTTTTACTCTTTGTGGAAAGAGTAGCTGAGTCCTTTAGACCACTTCTATTTTCATCAAAGCTATAAACTTCACTTGAGGAAATAGAAACGTGTATTCATCCAAAAAACAAACAAACAAGCAAAAACAAAAGTAAACTCATAAATACCACTACTTCCAGTGAATATTTCTTAAGGACAAAAGGTAAGATGATTTAATTTATCTCAAAGTGTTCAGATATAGAAAGTTTCCAAGAGGACTAAAAACATATTCAAGTGATTAAGACTAAACATCTCAATTATAATATGTTTGAATCACTGAATTTATTGTTACCAACTAAACTAGTGTGAACTGTTTTTTTAGAAGAGAGACATTTAATATCACTAGTAACAGATGAGAATTTTATAGACTATTGAATATCCGCATACACATGCACATATGAATGTATGTATACTTGCATACCTATGTTATATATGTATGCAAAACAGGGAAGTTTAATTAATTTTGTGTAGAAAGAGTGCCAAAACATCTGGCATATTTAATGCCCTCTGAAGCCCTTATGCTCTTATATGTACAAATTGAGAGAATGCTTATAACTTTCAACCTTCATCATATGTATTATACATGTATGCATGTATACATGTGCACATATGGGATCATATAAATCATAAAGAATATAATTGTTTATGTCAATTTATATGTTTGTTACATATGTAATATGTATTTATACATATATTGCATAAAGCAGAATTCTATGAAATAGCTACAATATTTTTAAAGTGGTTATGTTACAAGAAAGGATTCAGCTGATTTTAGAAACAGAAAGATCAGTTAAGGGACTATTGCAATAATTTAGATGAAAGATGATGTTGGCTTGGGTCTCAGTGGTAGGAATGGAAGTGGTGGGAGATAATCGGCTTATTAATATATTTTGAAAATAGAGCCAACATCATTATCTGACAGAATGGTCATGGGATGTGTAAGAAACAGAAGAGATTAATTTTTCTAATATTTATTTGTCTTCATTTGAGCAAATGGAAGTATAGAGTTGTCATTGACCTGAGATAGGAAATGCTTTGTTTGGAGCAAGTTAAGAGAGAACACGAAGAATTCAGTTTGGGGTCATGATGAGTTGTTATTCCATACTAATGCAGATATGTGAGTAAGAAGTTGCTTAGAAGTCTGAAGATTGGAAAAGAGGTCAGAACTGGAGATATAAATTGAGGTGTTGTAAGTATACAGATGAAATTTAAAGCCATGAGATTGAATAAGACCACCAAGGTCAAATGTAAATAGGAAAGAAAGGAGAATCAGGACTGAGCTCTGAGGTACTTCAACCTTAAGAGTCAGAGGGAAGAAGTAGAATCAGCAAAGAAGACTGAGAAAGAGCAACCCGTATGGTAGGAAGGAAGCTCAGTCTGGTGTTCTAAAAGATAAGAGAAGAAGCTCTTTCAAGGAGTAGTAAACAATGAACTCTGTCAAAAGTTACTGATGGACAAAAAAGGTGAGGAATGAGAACTGACTGATGGGTTTGGCCACATGAAGATTCCTGATGACTTAGACAAGAGTGGTTTCCGTGGAGTAATGTGGTTAGAGCCTGATTTGAGTGGGCTCAATAGGAAACAGAAAAAACAGAATTGGATACAGCAAGTATACTAAAGTGTATAATATTTTTAATTGCCAATGTGAATGCAAAACAACTGGATGACAGGTGGTGAAGACAGAAGGATCAAGAGAGGAGGAGAGAAAAGTTAAGAGTTAAGGTAAAATATGGAAAAACAGTGGTCAATCATTGATGACTTTATATACACACACATATTACATTTTAAATAAAATAGGTTACTGAGTTTACTGAAGAAAACTTTTTTTTTTAACTGCAATAAGGAAATAAAGAGATTTAATACATATGCTCTTAAGACATCTTATAAGCAATCTAGCTCATAGCAGAAAATAAGCTATTTGATTTTTCCTGGTATTTTTTTGTACACGTTATTCCCTTGATTTCTTTCTTATTCCAGTAAATGCAGCATCCATTCGGAGAAAAAGGTATGAGCAACCATTCAACAGTGACTGAATTTATTCTCCTGGGATTCAGCGATCATCCAGAGCTACAGTGTCTTCTTTTTGTAGTGTTTCTAGTCATCTATATCACCACTGTGTTTGCAAATCTTGGCATGGTTCTATTAATCAAGGTTGACTCGCGTCTGCATACTCCAATGTACTTTTTCCTCAGTAATTTGTCCCTTGTTGACTTCTGTTATTCTTCTGTCATTGCCCCTAATATGCTGGTGAATTTCTGGGTGAAGAACCCAGTCATTTCATTTAATGAATGTGCTACACAATTCTTCTTTTTTGGTTCCTTTGCTGGTATTGAAGGCTTCTTGCTGGCTGTGATGGCCTATGACCGGTATGTGGCCATCTGCAAGCCTCTTCTTTACACAGTCACTATGTCCCCCCATCTTAATGTCCTTTTGGTGTTGGCCACCTATCTTGCAGGTTTTATGAATGCTGCCATTCACACTGGCTTCACCTTCCAACTGTCTTTCTGCCATTCAAATGTCATCAACCACTTCTTCTGTGACACCCCACCTCTACTGAAACTCTCTTGTTCTGACACGAGTGTCAACGAGGTTGTGATTTTTGCTTTTGCCAGTTTTAATGAATTGAGCTGCCTTCTGACTATTCTCATTTCTTACCTCTACATCCTCACTGCCATCTTGAGGATCCATTCTTCAGAGGGGAGACACAAAGCCTTCTCCACCTGCGCATCCCACTTGATGGTGGTTACCATCTTCTTTGGCACAATCCTGTTCATGTATCTGCGCCCCAGCTCCAGCTACTCAATGGATCAGGACAAAGTGGTGTCTGTGTTTTATACAGTGGTCATCCCCATGTTAAATCCTCTCATCTATAGTCTGAGAAACAAGGAGGTCAAAGCTTCTTTAGGTAAATTTTAAAAACAACCTCTTTTTACTTCTGTGCTTAGAATCACATAGCATGGGACTTTAGCACACTGAGGGAATGTAGAAATGACCAAGTCCACCTTTATTCACTCAGGCTCCTTTTCATTCTATAATGAGGCTTTTTTTTTTTTTTTGTCTTGATAGTGGAGTTGGACCAAATGTCCTAGGCATCACGGGGAACACGATGACTCTGTGTAAATTCTACTTATTTCACAGAATCTATATGCTTGAAAATAACCTAATATCTATATTCAGAGGTATAAGGCCCAGTCTAAAAGTAGGTGGGCCAGCCCTGGCCAGTTTGGCTCAGCAGTTAAAGTGTCAGCCCGTGGACCAAAGGGTTGCAGGTTTGATTCCCAGTTAAGGACACATAGCTGGGTTGCAGGTTCAATCTTTGGCCTTGGTTGGGGTCTTGCAGGAGGCAACCAACCTATGTGTCTCTCTCACATTGATGTATCTCTCTCTCTTTCTCCCTCCCTCCCTCTCACTCTATGTAAAAGAATCAATGAAAAAATATTTTCGGGTGAGGATTAACGACAACAACAACAACAACAACAACAACAACAACAACAACAACAAAAGTAGATGGGACAGAGAAAGACTGAGTGGCTGGAGGAATGACTCCATCTTCTTCCTTGTTTGATGGTTCAGTAATTGGACAGTGGTTTTGTAACTGCCAGAGGACATGTGATAAGTAGGTTGAGCCAGAATATGTCCAGAAGACCAAAACTTGGCTTAGAGACTGCCTCTTGTCCTTAGTGAACCAGAAAGAAATATCAGAACTTAATCTCAATAGAAGTGCCAAAGTCAAGTGTTTTTAACCTGGGCGAGTAATCTAGACGACTGAGTGGATAATGGGAACAAACTACAGCGTAAACATAAGGGGCAAGCACAAAACAAGAACACCAAGGCTCATGGAGCAGAAATTTCTGGGGCTTAGAAAAGAGGTATTCTCTACAATTCCTGAAGATGAAGTGTCATGTTGTTTGATCTTTGAATGAGTAAGCAGTTTAAGCGTGAAGAGCTAGGTAGGGCAGGTTCTTTGGCAAATAACCACACAAATCTATTTTACTACTAGCTGCAATTTAGTTAGAATAAGTTTAAATCTTTTGCTGGTTTAATGGGTATTTTCATAACTGGGCCATCTCCCCGACAGGACTGGATTTTCTTTACAGAAAGTGACCACTGACATGTCAACAGAAAATGTTTTAAAGTGACTGAAACTGGGTATACTATACTAGGTGTGATCCTAGCATGTCTCTTTGCCATTGAAAGACTAATACATCATAATACAAAAGCAGCCACTTAAAAAAGACTAAGTAATAATTTTGTTTTCAATTTCCACCTATGGTTTTTGATAAGATCTTTTCATTTAATCCTCTGTTATTCTGCTTTTCAGACATTGCATATTAAAAATGTCATTTTCTTGCTTTTCAAATGGTTCTTGCCCATATCATCTTTTTTATTTTTTTTTCAGGAGACCTCTTCATATTTTAAGATACAGCACACATACTATCTCCTCTGATTCCTCTGACAGTCCGTCATCCCTCCAAAGTGTACTCATACCCATTCCTGTGATTCTAGAGATATTGCAACTTGAATCAAGTTCTTGCTCACAGATATAAATAATAAAATACAGTTTAATATTTCCTGACATAGACTAAAAGCTCCTTGAGACAAGAGACCTTTTTATATCTACTTTTACATTTCCATACTCCATAATGAACCATCAATAAAAGTTTTTAAATTAAGAAAGGGTAAGGACAGAAAACAGGCCTTTCTGTTTTGTTACTATTTTTCCCACAGTTTATGAGAAGCACCTGGTAATTAAACACAAGACTACTGGTGTCTATAACTTCAAGCTCCCTTTCTATTCAAACAGTAAAATAAATAAGGGCTGGGCTCCCCACACCTCTCTCTCAGCTGTTTTAATAACCCAAGAATAATTCACACCAAAGAGCCTCTAATGAAGGGAAACTTTTCTTACACCTTCCCCTCAAACAAGTCTTCCATTTTGAACTCTGTGCAACCCCTTCAGACAAAACTCCATCTTTTATACTCCCGGTAACTTTTTTTACTTGAAAGCATATTTTACAGGCTAAAGAAGATATAAAAATAGCTCCCTGGCCCAGCCGGTGTGGCTCAGTGGTTGAGTGTCGACCCATGCACCAGGGGGTTGCCAGTTCGATTCCCTTTCAGGGTACATGCCAGGGTTGTGGGCCCGATCCCCATGTGGGGCATGCAAGAGATGGCCAGTGGATGTTCTCTCTCATCAATGTTTCTCTCTCTCTCTCTCCCTCTCTTTTTCTCTCTCTCTAAAAATCAATAAAGAAAAAAAAAAAGGAATACCTCCCTGGTACATCAGCTGTACTGTCTCCTAGAAAACAAACAAATTGTGACTTCTCAAGACAAAACCTCAGCATCTGTTCACTGTCAACAGGATCCCTTCCCTAAAAACCCCCAATAAAAGCAACTCGTCCTATGTTTTGTTGTCCTGTGCCACCTGATACCTGGCCCTTTCCCTGACTATGAAGAAAGTAATAAAGTTCCTCCTTTTTCCTCCCTCTTCTCTCTGTTGTGAATTCTTTCCCAAGCCTGTGCCATGGACCAAATCCTAACAGAAAGAATCATTCCAATGGGAGGTGTGGGGTGATGGAAGACAAACTGTTGCTTCTGGCATCTGAACCACAATTTCAGAAAGGCGGAGTTAGAAAAGTTCTCTTGTACCTGGTTGGATCATCTGTTAGATCATGTTTTATTCTTTTTAAAACAAACTATAAACCACAGAACTTGTATACATGTGTGCATGAACAATGGACATGGACAACAAAGCTGAGGACAGGGTGGGGGTGGGGAGGGGAGAATCAATGGGGGAAAAAGGGGAAACATCTGTAACAAAAATAAATAAATTAATTCAATAAAAAATCTATTACACTGCCAAAATAAATAAATAAATAAATAAACAAATCTATCTTTTTTTTTGAAACATTTTAATAAATGTTTTAATAAACAGATGATATTTTAGTGTCCTATATTTGTCACTTTATATTAATATGATTTTAACATATAATGATAGAGTATTCAGGACTTTTTTCATGAAGGAACAAATAGTTAATTCAAATTAGCCTAAGCCTGGAATTCTCAGTGCCCCTTGATCTCTCTTTCTCTGTTTTCCACTTTCTGTCTCATATTATGGGTTCACTTACTCTTTTTCACAGACTTTGCACATCATGGCCTCAAATTTACATACTTTTAGGATGATTGCATTGCAGTCATGGTTGCTTCTCTTTAGAAAAAACAACTGTTGCCTGAAATGGCTCAAGTGTTTATTATGTTGTCAACTAAGAACATCCAAACCTGTAGAGAATTTTTATGTTTATTTGTGTTTATTTTAGCCAAACTGAGGACATTGCCAGGACGCAAGATCTCAAATTCTCCAGAGAATGATAGAAATACATTTGGAATTAAGGTGTGAACATAAGAAAAATTACATGAAAGTGGAAGAAAGGCAGGTACAGACTCAGTAAGATTATGTGCTCCCTGGAGGGTGGTTACAGTGCCCAGGAGTGTGGTGTGACAAAGAGGATTACCCTGGTACTTGAAAGGTGTGTTAACCTGGCTGCACAGAGCAATGGACAGGGCTTACTTAAGGCAAAGATAGATCAGTACTAAAGAAGCTGTGTGCCTAAAGTGTGCCAAACTACCATGACCTGCTCAGTTAGAAATTTATAATTAGATCATCCTGTGATGTTCCTTTCTGTCACTGAACTAATCAGTTAAAACAAAAAAAAATGTTTTTATTGATTTTTTAGAGAGAGAGGAAAGAAGAGATAGAAATATCAATGTGAGAGAGAAACATCATTCGGCTGCTTCCTGCAAGCCCCCTACTGGGGATCAAGCCCACAACCCAGGCATGTGCCCTGACTGGGAATCGAACCGGGACTTCTCAGTCCATGGGACGATGCTCAATTCACTGAGCCACACTGACCGGGGCTGAACTAGTCAGTTTTATTACAAAACCTCTTTTTCATCCACAGTGTGAATGTGTGTCGTGGTATGCATGCATTTGTGTATGTGTGTATGTCGGTGATAAGTTACCAGGAGAACTCTTGCTCTACAATAGCTACTGCATCCACGGTACATTTACTCAGTAAAACTGCATGCCTTGCCTATCCTCTGCCCATTTTATTTACAAATTCCTCATTTGGGCAGCGATGCTTTATGCTGTTTACACCTCAACAAGAATGTTAACACTGGTGTTAACTTTATTAGTAGATGAGTTAGATGTTTTCCCATATGATGCAATTTGGGGATTCTGTTTTCAAGCTTCTGCTATCTACAGTATAAAAGCTATTAGAACATTGTGCCCTGTTTTATTTATTTTAGTAGCTAACCTCATGAGGTGTTTTTTTATTTAATTTTTATTTTATTTTATTTTATTTTTTAGCAGACACATGAATTAATCATTGCAATTGAACTAAGGAATTCATGTCATTAAAAATCCTTTAAATATCACTTTCTAGGAAAATAAAATAAGAATGCCTAATAATCTTTGAGTTAGTGTCAAACTCTGTGCACTATAATCTTCTTCTTTGCTATATAAATAAATATCAACTTCTTATGTGTAGAATTCTGATCAAGAGTTGGTCCCCTACTGAAAAGCATGGATACTTTGCCCTTTCATAGCTGAAAGTGTTAATTCACTACATTTTGTCTACTATTCCATAACTATTAAGCCAGTCTTATTTCTTATTGAAAAATACTTCTTTGTAAATCTTATGATTATTACAATGTTATCCTATATTAAAGTATATCAGAAAATACTTAAATACATACAAGCATAAGTACTTTGGATCCAATTTTCTTCAGAGTGAAAACTGACATTCTGCTTAAAGAAGTGTCAAATCTTTAATTATTATGTAAAACAAGGAAACCCCACATCAAGGAGTCAAAAAATGAGGACCCTCCAACCCTGCAATGACATACACAATACTAGAAGAAACCTCTTTTTCATGGAAATATTTAAACCACAGATTTTATTCTTTAAATTTTATGATTTCACTTGTGTAAGGAATTAGGATAGAAATTGAGATTGAGAAATAGTTCCACTTCAATTTGAAAAGAATATGGTAATGCTTAAATCTTCTCCAATGTGGTGAGGTGATAACGACCTACAGTTTGATATTGATTTACAGCTTTATCTCATTGACGTCTTACCCTCTAACCCATCATTTGGAGATGTAACAAACTCTGAGACACCTCTCTTGACTTGGTCAGACTACATTTGAACTCTTCTGACTATGCTGACCTGAAACTATCATGCACTGGAAGATACAGACCAGCGAAAGCATCTCTAGAGTCCTTTAGTCTCCAGCAAATGCAGCTCCAATGTCCAACTAGTCTTTATTCAACTTTCCACCTTCCTTCCAATTCACCAATTTTATGAATGATCCTGGCACTCAGACCCAACTTAATTCCTAGCATGTTGATAAAATTAGTTCAATGGAGCAAACTGGTTTCATATAAATCCATAGTGATCACCTTTCAAAGGATCCTCACCCCTGACCAGCACCTCTACTTCCTTCCATTAGTTATGTGACTTTTCTGCTCTCTACGCTCCTTCTGATCCCCAAATTTCTCACGGACTTCGCCTTTCTTCTCCTCGTTCTCATGAGATCACCTTACCTCAGTGTTTAGAAACATTTTGAGAATATTTCTAAATGAAGTCTTCTGATGAGAAGTCTCTCATCTTTACTACATTAAAAACACAAAACCTATCTACTCATATTTTTCTCCTTTCATAGTATTATTTGTGATGGCTAAATTTTCTGTCTGTGCTAAAGATTTTAATAAACTCAGTCCCAAGCAGTACACAGATGTGAGAAATTTTGGCCTCAAAGGAGCATCTAGTATCTCAAAGCTCCAAATTAAAATTCTGCCCATGAGGAAAAAAATGACAATTTTAATTGGTTCTTCAGAATTATTTTATAAATACTCTAAGGAATGTGCCCAAGGAATATATTATAAATCTTCACACCTTGTTTTGACAAAATATGGTAAGTCATCTTTTACAGGTAGGTCATTTGCTATGTTTGTTCACTGAAAATATGTTTGCTTTTCAGTGTGGAGATTAACATCCCACTAATGTAGAAGAGATTTTCAGCAATTTTACTTGATTTTTCTATTGGTATAATATTTCATGGCATGTCTAGAAACCAATCATTGTGTGCAAGACTTTTTGATGTGTCTGTAAAAGCTAAATAAAAGTGCTTTGGGGTACAATTCTTGAGGCACACTTTTTCTAGTCATATCTTGTTTTCACCAAGGTTTGACAGATAATGACTTCAGCTGGGAGTAAAGCCCAGATTTACATGTTAATCATGCTTCCCTAAACAAACATTTTCATACGTGTGTTAGTTGTGCAAAAGTTGGGGACACCCCTCCCATTCTTCTCCAGATATTTGCATTCTTTATTTTCTATTTGAATTTTACTTTCTCAGAAAGGCCTTCTCTGAATGGCCATCTAAATGCATACCACCTTTATTTTGCTTCACAGTACTTGTTTCTGACTGACATTATGTTATAACATTTCTCTACGGGTTGTACTTTCTCCTACAATTTATGCTTCATGAGGATGGGGAATTGGGTCACTGCTGTGAACCCAGAAGCTACAAGAGAAAAAAAATCAGCCTTTGTAATGTACATGATAAAATGGTGATTTTACAAAGCAGAGAGAACAATTCCTCATTTGGTATCTTAGCCACACAGGGTGGGACAAAAGCAGGTTTATAGTTGCTCATATGGAAAATGATATAATAATTAATAAATAATAATACAAAAATAAACTCTGTATTTTGTGTACTCATAAGTATAAACCTACTTTTGCCACACATCAAGAGATGAATGTGCTAATTCAATGTTTTCTGAAGAAAATTAAGTCAAACAACTATGGGTTTCACATGGGAAATGCTGAACTGAATATTTATTTTCTCTTTTGTGTTTGAAAAATAGGATAGCAGATCTGGAGGAACCTCAGAAATCCAACTTTCTTCATTTTCCCATTTGAATGATGCCATTGATCTGCTGCTTTTTATGTCTGATTTTAATTCCTGTGGTTTTCTTTTCTTCACAAAATTTGAAAACAATACTTAACATGGACTTCACTAAGAATACAGTATAAATGTGTGTGTGTGTGTGTGTGTGTGTGTGTGTGTGTGTGAGAGAGAGAGAGAGAGAGAGAGAGAGAGATTGAGATATAAAGAGGAAGAGAAAACATGGAGATACAGGGATACAGGGAAAACTATTTGTGTAGAAATTCTGATGTGTTATTGAAAAAAGAAGAGAAAGCTCCTCATAGATGAATCAAAGAATAAATGATAGAATGGATGGGCTAAATGAAAGAATGGATGAGATTATAAATGCAGAATCTTGATCAGACAGAATTCTTCACTTTTCTTTGTCACTTTCAGTTTTCAAGGGATAAGAAAATGTCTTCCAAAAACCACACTGTAGTGACAGAATTCATTCTCTTGGGACTCACGGATGACCCAGCACTAGAGAGGATCCTGTTTGGGGTGTTTCTGGTGATCTACCTGATCACGCTGGTGGGAAATGCGTGCATGATTGTGCTGATCAGGACCAATTCCCACCTCCAAACTCCCATGTATTTCTTTCTTAGCCACCTCTCCTTTGTAGACATCTGCTATTCCTCCAATGTCACTCCAAATATGCTGTACAACTTCCTCTCAGAACAGAAGACCATCTCCTATGCTGGATGCTTCTCACAGTGTCTTCTCTTCATCGCCCTGGTGATCACTGAATTTTACATCCTTGCCTCGATGGCGTTGGATCGCTATGCAGCCATTTGCAGCCCGTTACATTACAGCGTCAGAATGTCCAAGGACATTTGTATCATTCTAGTCATGGTCCCTTATGCTTTTGGCTTCTTTAATGGACTTTCTCAGACACTGCTGACTTTTCACTTGTCCTTCTGTGGCTCCTCTGAAATCAATCATTTCTACTGTGCCGATCCTCCTCTTATTATGTTGGCCTGCTCTGACACCTACGTCAAAAAGATGGCAATGTTTGTAGTTGCTGGATTTACCCTCTCATGCTCTCTCTTCATCATCCTCCTGTCCTACCTTTTCATTCTTGCAGCCATCTTGAAGATGCATTCTGCTGAAGGCAGGCACAAAGCCTTCTCTACTTGTGGTTCCCACCTGACAACAGTCACTATATTTTATGGAACCCTCTTCTGCATGTACTTAAGGACTCCATCTGAGAGATCTGTAGAAGAGTCCAAAATAATTGCAGTCTTTTATACTTTTCTGAGTCCAATGCTGAACCCGTTGATCTACAGCCTAAGGAATAAACATGTGATCCATGCTATGCAGCAAATGATTAAAGGAAATCTTTTTCATAAAACAGCAGTTTAGGCATCAGTTAATTAGAAATTAATGGGATCTGTGATAAAAGTGATTAGAGCCTAGAAGTGATTAAGAAAGGGCTTCTAAATATAATAGAGTTCCAAGTTCCAACTTTTTTTAAAAAAAAAAACAATTATTGAATTTATTAGGGTGACATTGGTTAATAAAATGATATATGTTTCAGGTGTACACTTCTATAATACATCATTTGTACATTGTATTATGTGTTTACCACCCAAAGCCAAGTCTCCTCCAGTCACTATTTATTGCCCCTTTACCCCCTTCTACTTGCCCCCACCCTTCTTTCCATCTTGTAATCACCATACTCTTGTCTGTGTCAATGAGTTTTTTTGTTTGTTTGTTTTTTGCTTAATCCATTCACCTTTTTCACCCAGCCTCCCAACCCCATTTAGTGATTCCACTTCTGGAAATATATCCATTGAAACTCAAAACTGTGACTTGAAAGAATGTATGTACCCCTATGTTAATTGCAGTGCTTTTTACAATAGCCAAGATTTGTAAGCAGTACAAATGCTCATTAGAAGGTGAGTGGCTTAAAATGCTATGGTACATATACACAATGGAATACTATTCGGCTATAAAAAAAGAATAAAATCTTACCTTTTGTGACAGCATAGAAGGACCCAGAGACTATTATGTTAAGTAAAATAAGCCAGTCAGAGAAAGACAAATGCCATATGATTTCATATATATTGTGGAATCTAACGAACAAAACAAACAAACAAACAAAAAAGAAATAGACTCATAGATCAAATTTCTTTTTGAAGATCAGCATCATTTAGTCTGGGGGACATTCCATAATGTATAATAAACTTCCCTTTTTGTTAAACAAAGAGTTGTGTTTTTATTCCTAGCAACTAGAATATGCTGATATCCAGAATTCTAATGCTCTTTGAAAAATGTACTGTAGAATCACTGTAAAAGTATTTTATATTTTGTCTAAATGATTGTATGCTTCCTTTTATTTTCTAGTCTGGAGAATCACTGTGGCTTTCAGAAACCAAAATTAAAGGCTCAATAATGGCAATTGTCTTAGTCCAAATGATTGACCTCTTTGCAGTGTTTAAAAAAATTATATTTATTTATTTATATTTTTCTTTTTTCCCTTTTTATTGAATTTATTAGGGGTGACACTGGTTAACAAAATTATACAGCTTTCAGGTGCACAATTTCACAGCACATAATCTGTATATTGTGCGTTTACCACCCCAAGTCAAGTCTCTGTCCATCACCATTTATAACCCCTATAACCTCCCCCAACTCCCCACACCCCCACCTTACCCTGGCAGTCACCACACTGTTGTCCATGTCCATGAGGTTTTTTCCTCTCTCTTTTTTTCTTTTTGCTCAATCCCTCCACCACCACACCACCCATCCTCCCAACCCCTCAACTCCCTCTCCAGGTCCATCCATGTAGTCACAAATGGTAAGATTTCATTCTTTTATTACAGCCAAGTAGTATTTCATTGTGTAAATATACCACAGCTTTCTTATCCACTCATCTACTACTAGACTCTTAGCCTGCTTCTAAATCTTGGCTACTGTAAATAACACTGCAATGAACTTTCTTCATTGTCTAAGTTTTTCATTGAAAGCCACATCAAAATTTCTTTAGAGATAGATAGAACATAAATTAACATGAAATAAAATAATATGTGACACTCTATTTTAGTTTAATGCTCACTTTTATATCACTACATTTTAATCTTTACAAATGAACTTAATAGGAAATTATCTTGGTTTATAACACTCGGAGTTTTAGGCACATAGATTAAATGACCAATCAAAAGTCATTCAGCCACTAAGTGGCACACAGGCAAATCCTTGGATTCTCAGTTATGTCTCTTTCCAACTCATTGCTATATGTGAAATCATGGTAAATGTGATGGCAGTAATATAACTAATAATCACTAATGTAGACTTCCTCTGATATTTCAGGCAAACACGATAATTTTTGTGCAATATAAGTAAAATTGTCTTATTGTCCCATGGAAAACAGATGATTTTGCTATATGGCAGAACTATGTAGGCTGTATTTTATGAGTATATTGTCCAAATTATAAAAACATACAGGTTTATTATAGATAACTAGAAAATTCAGACAAAAAAGAAGAAGCAACATTTATCAGTGGATAATTTCTATTTGTGTTTTATATTTCTCCTCAATAATTAATATAACAAAAATGGAATCATTTGCCATACACTAATATGAACATTGATTTTTCACTTGATAGTATAATGCTTGCATTTCATATAGACTAAATATTTTGGTGAACACTATTTGTAATATAATATAATAATAATTAATTCATAGTGAACTTAATTATAAAATAATACATATCAATTGTAGCAAAACAAATCGAAAAATCCTAAAAGATATAAGAAACGAAAACAAAATGTATTTGCAATTTCCTACCTACAGAGAGTTTGTCTCAATATTTTGGTGTATTTTTTCTTGTTGGTTTATCTTGCAAAGCATTATTCCAACATGCTGATGTATCCTATTATTTTTAAGATTGACTAGTATCTAAGTACATATCTCTCTGACAGTTCTTTTAGGATAGATTCCTAGAAGTGTAATCGCTGAATTAAATCTTTTATGCATTTTCAAAGTTCTTGTTAAATTACTTTATGGGTAAATTTTCATCAGAAAGTTTGTAATAATTTACATCTATTAATAGTAATATTTGAGAATAACCATTTAACTATACCATTATTTTAGATTATTTGCTTCTTTGTTGTCTCAACTGAAATTCTTAGAAAGAGATTTTGTTTTATTTTGACAGAAGAATTTTAAAATATATATTTGACAAATAATCAGTTTGATGACTGCCTTTCATGTTATTTCTGATGATACTTCACATAAAAATATTAACATTTTTTATTTAGAAAATTTTAATCTATTTTTTTGTTTTTGCTTTATAGTTTTTGTCAATCCTCAATTTAACTAAGCAAGTATCTATATTATGTTACTCATAACTCAGGACCATATTTTATAAGAATACCTTAAATTATTCTAGATACAATTTTGTTATATATTGTAATGTTGTTTGTAACGTTTTACCTCACAATTTTTTGTTGTTTTGTTAATTCTCACCTGAGGATATTTTCTCACTAATTCTTAGATAGAGTGGAATAGAGAAGGGAGGAGGAGAGGGAGAGGGAGAGAAAGAGAGAGAGAGAGAGAGAGAGAGAGAGAGAGAGAGAGAGAGACATCGATGTGAGAGAGACATATTGATTGTTTGTCTCCCACGTAACCTCAACCAGGGCCAGGAATCGACCAGCAACCCAGGTATATTCCCTTGACTAGGAATCAAACCCATGACCTTTCAGTCTGCAGGCTGTGGCTCTTTCTGCTGGGTCTAACCAGCCAGAACCTTACCTCACACTTTTAACCCATGTATTTCTATTGTTTATTAAGCAAACCTTTGTTTATCCACTAATTTGTTATCTTCATTGTATCTTCATTGTACACTAAAGAAATCTATTTCTGGTCTATCTCTTCTATTCCTTTGACTAATCTACATATATATTTTAAAGCAAATTATTACAATAATGTAGATTTAAAATGTGTTAACTTCTTTTTTTTAAAACTCATCTTTATTGTTGATGTATTACAGATGTTTCTCTCTTTTTTTCCCCATTGACCCCTTCCTCCCCAGGCTTGCCCCCCTCCTGCCTTCCCCACACTATTGTTGGTGTCCATTGGTTATGCATATAAGCTTAGAAGTTCTTTGGTTTAACTCATCCCACCCTCCCTCCCCACTTCCCTTTGAGGTTCATCAGTCTAACAAACAATCGTACTTATTAATTCCTTTATCTTTTTCACGCATCCCCTCAGCCCCCACCCATCTGGCAAGCAAAAAAAAACTTCTCTGTACCTATGAGTCTGTTTCTGTTCTGCTTGCTCATTTTGTTTGTAGATTCAATTGGGGATAGATTTGTATTAATTGCCATTTTATTGTTCATATTTTTGTTCTTCTTCACCTTCAAGAAGACCCTTCAACATTTCATATAATGCTGGTTTGGTGGTGATGAATTCCTTTAGCTTTTTCTTGTCTGGGAAATTCTTGATATGGCCATCAATTCTAAATGATAGCTTTGCAGGATAGAGTAATCTTGGTTGTAGGTCATCGCTTTTCATCACCTTAAATATCTCTTGCCACTCTTTCTGGCCTGCAAAGTTTCTTTTGAGAAATCAGCTGACAGTCTTATGGAAGCTCCTTTGTAGGTAACGAAGTGCTTTTCTCTCACTGCTTTTAAGATTCTCTCTTTGTACTTACCTTTGGCATTTTGATGATGATGTGTCTTGGTGTGGACCTCTTTGGGTTCAACTTGTTTGGGACTCTCTATGCTTCCTGGAATTGTATGTCTGATTCCTTCACCAAGGTAGGGAAGTTTCTGTCATTATTGTTTCAAATAGGTTTTCAATTTCTTGCTTTCTCTCTTCTCCTTCAGGCACCCCTATGATGGGAATGTTGGCACACTTGAAGTTGTCTCAGAGGCTCCTTACACTATCCTCATTTTTTTGGATTCTTTTTTCTTTTTGCTGTTCCCGTTGGGTGTTTTCTGCTTCCTTATATTCCAAATTGAAGGTTTGTTTCTTGGTTTTACCTACTCTACTATTGACTCCCTGTAAATTATTATTTATTTCAGTTAGTGCATCCTTAATTTCTGACTGGCCCTTTTTTATGTTGTTGATGTTCTCACTAAGTTCCTTGGAGGTCTCCTTAAGTTCCTTGAAGGTCTCATTAAGTCCCTTGAATGTGTCACTAAGTTTCTTGAACAACCTTATAACCAGTGTTTTGAATTCTGCATCTGATTGATTGCTAATCTCCATTTTGTTTAATTCTTTTCCTGACGTTTTGTTTTTTTCTTTCATTTGGGACATGTTTCTTTGTCTCCTCATGTTGGCTGCTTCCCTGTGATTGTTTCTATGTATTAGGCAGAGTTGCTATGTCTCCTAGGCTTTATAGGGTGGCCTATTATT